TTTTTCCATGATTTATAATAATTGGAGTAATGCAAATGCATATTTTCTAAAAAAAGTCAATTTTTAGTGAAATTTTGCCGGGAATGGGGCTTTAATGCAAGTAAATCTTTTATACACAGAAGCTTTTATGTCAATTTATTATTATTATTATTAATGTAGGCTTTTTAATTTCATGCATTTCAAAATAACCTTTTTTAAACTTTCTATGATAGACTATGTCAGTATTAAATATCAATCGTGTCACATGTTATCAAAATTATTTATTTTATTATTAAATATTTTAATGCAACTGAAGAGTTTATACAGAAGCTTCTACTGTCAATTTATTATTATCATTATTATTAATTTAAGCTTTTGATATCACAACATAATTATTCCAAAATCGTTAACTTTTTTAAAGTTTTCTAATGATAGGCTGTCAATATTATCTTCCAAAATTATCTAATATTCATGTTACATAATATTATTTTCAACAATAAACAATATTTTATTAAGTATGTTAAAAGTTAAGCTTTTAATACAGATAGGCCTTTATTTATATAATATAAATATTTCAGAATGGTATTCTTTTTTAAATACTTTTTTAATGATATGACAGGCTATCTGTATTAAACTTATCCTATAATGGCAAGGCCTCTATGATGAGATCACTTTTATCATTAGATTAAACATCTATCTGTATGAAACATTAGGTTCCCTGGGGACAGTTCCATAATGCTGCATTTACTGTGCCTAGCAATGCAATATACGCGAGATGACATTCAAGCTACACTACCAGGTACCAAGTTCAGCCAAAAATGAAAAAAAAAATTCTTGTGTTGGCCACGTGTTGGGAAAATCCAAAATAGGCCTACGGGTAGGTCAGTAGGAATGTGTTTATGCCCAAAAACGAAGAAAATATACATAAATACAAGACCATTTCTAAATCTATATTGATAACGATCGCATAACATTACATAGCATTGCCTACGACCCAACAAGATAGGCCTATTCCAGCCTTTTTGTCTCATTAAAAAAATATATTTTGTTGGTAGTCAAAAAAAAAACAAAAACTAAAATGCCGAACCTTAATTTTGTACATTTTAGGTCGGTCGGGCGTGGCCAACACGATAATTTTTTTTATTTGGCCTTACTATACTTCAGTGTGGAAAGAAAGAGACGACATGAATGAAGCAACTTGTTCTCAAAAACACATGAATTATACTAAACTCTTTCAGACTCAAAACCATTCAGGATTTGGAATTTTTATATTTAGAATTCATCTTTCAATTACAAAGTTAATTCAAAAAATAATTTTATAATAATTGCTTTCTTGCTTTTGAGAATAAAAACAATGAGTATTATTTTAGAGTTTATTATTCATCTATTTGTTTATTTATTCATAAACTCACACATCATTAATTTTTTTCCTTTTTTTCTTGTTATCATAATACTGTTTTCTCATTCAATTATTCTATTTACATTGTTAATTATTAATGACTGACTTTTCTCTATCTGGATGACCAAAGTTATCCAGTTTAAATGTTTTAAAATACATAATATAAAATAATAATAATAATAATAATAATAATATAATATAATAATATATACCATCATTAAATTACTTTTATTTGTTATTTTATACTTTACATTCAATTATTAACTTATTAATAGGGGTGGGAGGGAGGCTGGTCAAATTGCTAGACGCTATAATACAGATGGACATGCAAGACCACACACTGGACCTCAAGAAAATGGGTCAGACGAAGGGGAAGGAAAAACACAAGTAACAAAAATGAAATCACAGAATTTGAAGGCTAGTAAAATTCTGCTCGAAGGAGAAGAAATGGAAAATTGGTGTTCAAAGAGGACTTCCTTCCAGTGGCGTCACTAATGGGGAGGGGGATGTAGGTCAGGGTAAAACTTCTCTCCCGTTTGACAGGTTTTGCCTCTATGTAGTACAGGTCTGGACCCCACAACAAAATCGTTGGACTAAAAATATCAATTTGCATATAATATATGTCAAAATAATGTTACGTTGTTTACCAATCCTTCATTATGTGATCTAAAAAAACACAATTTTGTCCCATACTAAGCCATAAAAATTTCCACCACGAACCTTAGGGATTTTAACAGTATTCTAGACCCCTGACCATGGCTCACGGCAGTACCTTGGTTTAGACCCCTATCATACTTCTCGGATCCCCTGTCAGCAAATTTCTGGAGCTACCACTTTCCAACCAGGCTAGAATATTTAATTTATCTAGAAACACTCGGCTAATTGATGTATAGATCATTTTTGTATTCGGCAGCAATTAAGGCCAATATACTCTACTGCCTCAATTATACTGCCCTCGTCGGAACTTGTGAGATTACGAGAACTTGTTTTTACTAATTACTAATGACTTACTGCTCTATCCGGATGACCAAAGTCTATTTTGAGGGATCCCATAGCCCTGATAATTGCTATCATGGATTGGATAGTGTTGCTGTAAACAACCGGTTTGTATTGCAAACAGTCATCTTCAGTATACCCTTCTTCATGAATAATTCTGCAATGGAAATATAATGTGTTGTAAATTTCAAATAAAGTTGGAATACTATACTGCAGTTATGCAAGCTAGTAGGCCATTATTTTTTTAAGCAAAAGGCTATAACCAAGAAATATCTACATTAGGAAATGCTGTAACAAAGAAATAATACATAATAGAAAATACTCAAACCACTACTAAAACCAAACACTTGCGGCCTTAATAATCACCTGAAATCGAAAGTATATTAGTAATAAACAGACTTGTTTGCACATCCCAAATAGCACAAAATATCAACAAATTAAAGCATAATATACTAATGGTAAACAGTTTATTTAAATATTTTGTATTTTATCTACAAATACAGTTTTGATATTTATAATTTAAGTTGTATTGTATCTTGACATTTGACATATAATTGCAAGCTTTAAAAAACAAGGCAGCTTAACTGATAATAACAGAATAAAGCCAGTACTGTTGTAAAAGCTCGACATAAATATTAATCTATTAATCTAATCACAATTCGTCCTCTTTGTGTTGGTAGAAAATGAAATCCTGAAGTCAGATTATATAAATCTCAATTTGTCCCTATGTGTTAGGTGGGGAGGAGGGGGGAAGATTGTAGTGGAGCTAATTTTAATTCCTAATTTTGTCCTTTAATTAGAAATATCACCTTTTTTCACTCATTGAAAGTACTGTACAATATTTTGAATTTTTCATTTGTTCTCTATACATTAATTTATTTTACTAATAAATAATGGAAAAATTCCCATCAAAACACCTGTTCATCAGCTTTGAGAAAACTGCATATTCATAGCTGGATATTGGTTTAAAATTTGCAAACAACTGAGATGTCGGAAGCCTAGTCTTTAGTTCATGGCTGCATCCTATATCTCGGATAGCAAATCAATTTGTAAGAGGAGAGCGTGGAATATTGGGATTGAAGCATAACTAATTTGCTTCAAAATATTTTGAATTCCCTGTAGAAACCAGGATATGGTAAACACAAAATGTGATAGAATACTGCATACACACTGCAGGATATACTGCAGTTTAGTACAAATTTGAGATACCAGTAGCTAATTCAAAAAAAGGGGAAGGAAAGAGGGGGTGAGGCAGTTGATTACCCCCTCCTGCTGTATTTTTCAAATAAAAAAAAAAATGGAGAATGAGACACTACAATCAAAATCAAAGTCCGAGAGTGCCATTTCAGGCCATCTGCTGTAGAGGTTCCATAATCAATTTTCTGTCATCCCAACCATAGTGAGTGAACCTTCTATCTCTAAAATCCCTCCCCGGACCCCCTACATTATTCCCAGGGGCAGATTTAGGTGGGTTGGGAAAAGTATGGTGCCCCTTTTGGAATGTAACAAAAAAGAGAAGCAAACAAAAGAAAAAGAAATATTATTGATCACCCAAAATGGTTCCAAGTTTATTTGGTTATCTAGAAAACACAAATTTCGCAGAGGTATGCCACCGGACAACCTAGGATAGTGTTGTCCCAGATCGGCCCCACTTTCAGCTCCCCCGTCAGACGTTTCTGGATCCACCCCTGATTCCTGAGATGACAAAAAAGTTGCTCTGTGAAGTCAGAACTACTGTATGGCTTTTAATTATTAACAGAGGCATAATGATTCATAATATTCTCCCATTTCTACATGACTAGAACCTGTAGAAAGTAGAATTGAAAACTATTTAAACCCTGGAGGCAAATTTATGTGCAATAGAAAACCATGATATCACAAACTTGATTTGTAACAGAACACTAAATATTAACGCTACAACCATGCCCAAACCACCCTTGAAAACTGGATTCAGTCGGAAGGAAAGGATGGGTTCATTTAAATCAAAACACCCAGCGAGTACAGAAAATCTAAATGACATAAAATGAAAGTGAAGTCTTGGGATATGTGAACTTAGTGGCCTATCAGTATGATACCAGCCTAGTAACATTTTAGAAGGTGATTTAGACTTGTTGAATAATATCTAGTGCATTTACATGTCAGATTTCAGAAACTTTTTAATTTATATTTCCTGAGGAAAATGTATTTTTAACATTACGGTAGGATATCAATGGCATTAAAAAGATTATTTAGTCTCAGCTAGGAAGTAGTAAAATAGGATTTGTTTATTTTTGTCTTACTGATTTACCTACTGGATTAGGCCTACTTTAGTTTAGCAAAACATCATGGCTAAGCATATTGAGACTTTGGCATTATCATGGATAAATTGCTGCTGAAATTAGAATTTATACTACAGTATATCAATATAACAAATGGAATACAAGTCACGAAAATCTGAAGGAAAATAAGTCTCAGAAAAAGGGATTAGGGTGTGAGGTTATGTTATGAGATTAGAATATTGGATTAGATTATAAGTTCTGATTGATTACTATGGATCTATACATAAAATATGGACTAAAATGAAATTGACTACTTTAGTCTTAATCAGATCTTTCTGTTCTCATTAACTGTACAGTGGCTAAAAGTTCAGTTTTCCAGATTGAGAATTCTAATAATTCCAAAAAATAGCCATAAATTTACCTTGCATACTCGCAATATAAAGACAAGACTTAAAATAGCAATTACTATAGAAAAACAGGGGGTTGTCTTATACGTGCGACATACAAAAATCTTCTTAAACATGAGGGTTGTCTTATTACGTGCACTGCCTTATGCGAGTATACAGTATGCTACCATTACCATATATTATATAGGCCTAACCATTACATTACACATTAATACATTAATATCATTAATCTTTTATTTATTTATTTATTTATTGATTAATATACTATAACGCTAAACTGTGTTGAAAATGTATTTATCACTCTTGTTGGTACCTCTGTATAATGAATAATATTTTGAAAACTAAAATGATGTCACAATTAATTTCCCACAAGGCTGTTAAAAATGAAATTATATCTGTCTCTTATACACATCTAGATGTGTATAAGAGACAGATAAGGGAGACTTTTTATTTTTCATTTTGCTTAAGCCAAATATCACCCTTGGGTTGTTTACTGGTGAACTGATATCCAAAGTAAAATACATTATTGAGAAAATACAAACAATATCTACTACCATAGTAGGGAGGTGGGGGAAAATCACAATTCCCCCCTCCCCCACAATTTTTTTTTTCAACACCATAGAAGACATCCGGCTGAGGGTTGAACTAATTATTTTATGTATTGGGCCTGAAATGTTTATCTTTTATCAGTAGTTTTCATGACATACACTAAAGACACTGTATAGATATAGCCTATAGTCTAATTAGCCGACAGTCTATGAAGAAACAAAAATTCTAAATCCATTAAAAATTTTGAATTGCCTCTTATCATGTATCAAGACGTTACTATATTACTTTCATTTGAAAATAGAATGAAATATTTTTCCTTACAAAATAGAGATGCCAATTAATAAAATTGTCTATAAATAATCAAACATAATAACTTAAAATGTTATTTTTATTTAATTTTGATGTTTTTCCAAATTTTATATTTTTAGAACACTTCAAATCTGCTGTTGTCAAATTTTTCCTCATAAAGTTTCATCTGAAGGCATTATTAAATTATGAATTTAAATATTAAATTAAAAATATGCAAATTTCAGAGACAGACTTTTAACTGTTTAGTGATTTCCATTCTACTATGTTTAACTTTTTATATGCCAAGAAACAAAAATAACACATTTTCATACCTTCTTATATTATATAAAATGTTCCATTTTTATTGTAAATTCATCTATTAGGCGAGACATTTTGTATAATTTGTTTCGTGTACTTACTTTTTTAAAGATTGTCAGAGGAGGGTGGAAAAAATTAAAATGAAATCTTTTTTTTCTTATTTAGCAATGGTTTTGACAAAAGCATCCACAGAGAAGAGAAAATAAAAAAAATTATTGGAGAATGTGAAAAAGTGTAGAAATGGGATGGTCCAATACTTTAAACTTATATAATTAGGAAGAAATATTTATTTTCGGAGATTTGGTTGAAGTCAGCGGCAGGTGTAATAAAAATAAAGAAAAACATATTTTTTTCTGTAATTTCCATTTTTTCATGGTGGCGGGTGTGCTAATTGGCCAAAAATAAAATGTTATATTTATTTGAAATCATTATTATTGGCGGGCGATGAGTTCACTAAACAAGGTATAAAAAAAGTTTTGCATTATTTAAATATTTTGATTGTCAAGTTTATTGCGGTAAGTGCGGTTCTTTTAATACTGAGTTAATTCAGTTTGCTTTTTAGGTACTGTTCTCTTCAGGCTCTGTTTATATCAAATTGTTTCTAAACTTGATTTTCTGTACCTGTATGTTTATCATTGCCTAGAAATAAACAAACAATGATTTCAAGATCTTACACAGCATCTTCATCAACTGTGTATCAAAATAGAATACATGCTTGTCAATAGGTTACACCTTGCATTGATAAAGTAGAACCGGAGCTGTAAATCTTCGCTACCAGCAATAACATAATTACCGGCAACCTTGCCAGATGATAAAGAAGCCTTATATAGTTAAGCAATTCTTTCATCTGCCTTTATGACTAATCAAACTCAGCTGTCGCTTGCGAAATTACACTACTAGGTGAAAATTACCCACCATGCAAATCTCCAATGATATTATGCTAATTACGATGGAAAGCTTAGAGAACATATGCTGTTTACCTTCCCATGGGTGAAATACGTCCCAATTAATTGGCCAATGAGAGAACACATAAAATGTCAAGCTGGACATGTATATTGTGTTGTGGAGAAGAATTAACATGTTGGTCGAATCTCTATTTTGCATTGTATTTGTATTAACATCCATTTGACATTCCATGTAGGCTAACTGAAATATTCTCTTCTCATTTGGAACAAATTGTAGATTATCACAAATATCCAAAGCTTTCGTTATTTGAGAATTAAATACAGTATATTTACATTACGACAGAATTGCATCAAAGTGGCTTTAAAATATTTATAAAAAAATTATATAACTTTGGAATAAAATTAGAAAATAAACAAATTTATTTTTAATGCTATCACATTTAAAAAAACAAATTTATTTCCATAGACTTTATTTGATAGAATACGAAAATCTTGGATTACACTTTTTTTTGTTTTTTAAATAAGGACCAGTAAAATTTTGCACCCGGGTCAGTATTTTTTGGCCGATTTGAGGCTCAAAATGCTCTTATCTGATCTTATTTTTAAACATTTTCCAAATATAGAAAATTATTATTTTACAGTCAGTATAATTATTACATCACAGTACTACAGTATATTATAGAGGGTATTACAGAGTAACACCTACTGCAAATAAGGTGCAGATAGATTTGTTGGTTTTCTATTTCAAAAAAAATAAAAACATCTTGAAATTTTATCTTAGTCTCAATTTGTTCTTAATTTTTTAGCGATTTCAGCCTCAATGTTCTTATAAAATGTTTTCTTAAAAAAAGAAAGTGTAATATTTTTCAAATCTGCAGAACCTTTTACTTTTTGAATTACTGAAACAGTATTACTGACATGTACTTTAAAATCAATTATTTATTTTTTAAACCACATTTATAGAGGGTGACATTTTGAGGGTACATCCTCCTAAGTCCGCTGATATAAAGGGCCCTCTTAAATTTAAATGAAATAGCAAGAAATAATCAGCTAAGTCTTAGGGTTACAGAGTAGAGATTGTTTTTAATAGAAAAAAAATTCTGTGCAGCCACAGATTTGAACCCAGGGCCTTGGGATTGGAAGGCAAGCATCTTAAACACCAAGCTGCAGTAAATCTTCACTCAGGCAATCACCATTGCAGCTTTTTTCATAGTTTCTGTCAGTTCATAGGACCTATCCTTCACAGGAAACTTGTCTGACCGTAGCCCTACAGAGTAATAGTTTTATATTCCTGTTTATCAGTTTTACAACAACATTAACAGATAAGAGAATTTTCAAATCTCATTTAATAACAATCAACATACCATACCTTGTTGTATTTTTATACTTCATAAACATATTCAACAATTTAAGTCATAGTTTAAATTATTTATAAATTTTGGAACAGACTAATAAATATTCAGTAAATGAATTTTTTCATTTATAGCTACAATATATTTTAATTATTAATGTTTATTTTGATATTTTTGTAACAAGTCTATTTCATTTCTTAAATGATAATTCTTGTTATGTAAAATTTTAATAATTTTTTGATGAAGGCCCCATTTTAGCTGTCAATTCAAGGACCAGTTTGAAGGACTATCCTCTCTAATCTAATTTTCTTCCCTGGTTTCTTTTATGAACAATTATGATAAACATGACCTTGACAAGTCAAGCGTAACACAGGTGGGTATCCATATCTCCGAGGTCAAGGTTCAAATTTCTTGTGTTTACAGAAATGCAGGAAAAGCTACCAGTTTCATAACCTGTATTGCATTTTATAGGCGTGCCAATAGAATAATATGTGTCCCAAATGATGCTGAATTGAATACTATAGCCAAAAAAAAATTTGTTGCAATGTATTTTGACACTGTAAATATTGATGACTAATTGATAATAAGGCTGAAACTATTTGTCTTGGGTATTTTCTTTTAAATAGGACTGTGGGTAAGTATAGCTCTCCCATGGTACACCCTCCTCTTCCATTTTTTTCTGTTTAAAGATAGTCACCATGTCATCACATGAAGCCCAGTAGCCCTAGGAAAGGTCTTCAATATATACACATGCTAAACTTTACTTGCTTTACTAGATAGTACTCTACAAGTATGTTCTTATTGTGTTTTTTTTGGAACATATATCATTAAATAATAAACAGCAGTAGCAGTCCTTATATTAATGAAGGACAGTACTGATTACGTATCACAATTTTGTAAAAATGGTGAATTTTAAATGTAGTGGAAATGTGGCGCAATGGTAAGGCTTTTACCTTCTAACTGAAAGATAAGTGTTCATGCCTAATCGCCAAGTACTTTGTCTACTTGGCTATTAGGAAAAATTTAATCACTGATGTATTCTTCCATCAAGAAATAGATACTGCACTTAGGATCGTGTTTGATTGGTAATGACCTGAATAATATGTTACATCAGTAGTCAACACTTCCAGCATATTGACCTGTGTTAGATCAATTCACTGGGATTGTAGTGTATAAAATGCATGGCCATGGGCCAAGCATTAGTGCTATCACTATAACATAAAAACATGAGGATAAAGTGCTTTGACCTAATAGTTTGTTATTATTACAGAAAGAATGGTATGAAAATGATGTTCATTTCTTGTCTTGTAATTGATTGGGTCAGACCATTTCCTTGACAGTTATTCCACCTTAAGTGATGTATTGTTTAGCATAAATTTAAGACATAAAACTATGTCCTATGACATTTTGACACCACCTCAACTAAATTTGAGACATAAAAATGGAGACTATTTTTTAACTATGGATTAGAAGAACACTGTGAATCTCGATTTCACCTTTATTCAATGTTTAATAGGAATTATTGTATATGATTGGCAAATAAGTGTTTCCAAGTACCACTTAAAATAGTTGTCATCATCAGTCATTCACAAAGACAGATCAACTTTTTGTATATAGTTACCTTTGATGCACAAAAGGAACAATATTGCAGGCTACCGTGGATACACATGACTATACATTTAGTGTTTGCTTTGTTACGCCGAAACAAAACTCAACAATCACAAAAGGTTGTCCATCAAAAGTTTACCCATATTTACGTCATGCTTTAAATCTTTACTCCTGACAGAGCAATTTTGATAAAATTTACAATAATAGCTACAACAGGGCACACCCTACATTAGCATACTTTAGCGAAAATATTTGGAAAGTTCTTGAACCTAAGAATTAAAAAAAAATGCAGTTGAGTTAGTATGGACTGCCGAAGGAGTGCCTGAACAAGTTATTACCATACAGTAGTAGTAGCACATTAAAAACATTAAATTACAAAACCAAACAGACTGATTAAGAAAATTTTAAGTAATGGAGAGGGAAGTACTTACTTCATTTGTTTAACAATTGTGCTTTTTCCTGATTCTCCAGCACCTAAAAAAATAAAAGATAAAATTGTAAATAAACATCTACGATAACATTAGCAATAAATTTAAAATTTATTTCTGAAAACAAAACAAAAACAATCCCCCAAAAAATAGTACCATCAGTGAAATTGTTTCCAATTACAATTTGCACCATATTTAAATGATGTAAAAAAGATGCAAGTAGATTTTTAAGAACCAATGAACAAAACAATAAGCATTTTTCCCCCCAATCAAAGTAACATTTTGAAGTCAAGGTCAGCCTGTCTACATTTGAGTTCATTATAAATCATAGGGCCTACTGTAGAAGGCGCACTAGGTTTTACAGTAACTGAAGGGTTTACTGTCAAACATCACTTACTCCACACAGTGGCGCAATGAAGATGCCTGCGTCACCTGGTTAAAGCTTTCTTTGGGCCTCACCTGACTGGCGGAGAGGAGGCATGCAATAGGCCCAATGGGGTATGGGACGAATCACAATTGATGCTCGTTTTTCACAAGTTACCGGCATACCCCGATGTATTCTTACACGTTTTTGATCAAATATAGGACCTATCGTTTTGGCCAAAAAACACTGATTAATATCTCAGGGCCTTAATGGCTTTTTTAGCCATTAGGCAGTTTTTGCCACACGACGTTAACCTTAACTTTAACGTTAGTGTCCAACATGCAGCGCGATAGCTCGGCCCCTTTTGTAAACAAATCGAAATACGCATGCACAAACCCATAACTAACGTACGCCGAGCACGTAAAATCCTGAAATTAACGTACTCCGCAACGCAAGATGAATAAATTATGACATCATCCGTTAACGTTAAGGTTAACGTCGTGCGGCGAAAACTGCCTATTAAGAGCTCAGCCAATGCCCACATGTTAAAATGGTAATCAAGGTTAAAATCAACAGTAAAGTACAGAATTTGGCTTGAAATGTGAACCCTTTAAACATTGAAACAAAATCAGTAGAAAATGCAGATTCAAAGGGACTTTTGATTAAGCTTTGTCTAGACTACTGTATCACTTTATTTAAAACATGTGATATGCCTAAATATGGTCATGATGACATCACATCATGACCATATATAGGCATATCATGACTAAATATGGTCATGATGACATCACATCATGACCAAAAGAGGCACATTAATACTGTATGGGCATACATTCAACAGTTTTTTATTGGAGAAAATCTGATAGCGTGGACCGCTTAAATATATATATAATACCACCATTTATAATGTGCTTTTTCCTATTATTATTATCCAATAAAAATAAACTAGAAAGAAACGTAAACAAAAAATCCCAGATATTGAAATTTAATCCTTGCAAAGGTCGGTCAGGTCAAGCAAGTGTACTTTTGGTTTAGTAAACCTCCTTAAATAATCCCATCAACGTTGCTGATATTGATAATTTCTTTTTATGAGAGTATATTTTTAGACAGTAATCTGGAATGGAAGGAATATTGTAATCTTCAGTTGAAAGTGCTGTACACTGTTTATTTTTGGAAGGTTGAAATGAAGCTAAAACATGGACTGAGTAAAGAAAGGACTACTGTATTACTGTAGTTGTTTGGAGATTTGTTAAAAAGCAACTGCCTTTCCTACACCTATACCTTATAATAATACAACCTTTTGACTAATGAAAGTTTTTGTCTTTTAGCAAAAAAATGTCATGTTCTGAAAAGCGAAAGTTTGGTCCCTATGGTTTTCTAAGTTCCAAGTACAACATCCAAAACATTGTGTGTTGAGGCACTTTAATAACTTTTAACCGCATATCCAATTAGAATACTGTACACTTTATTACACACATGAATGGCCTCATTGTTATAACATAAAACCCCTGCTTGAGTAAAGTTTTCTCTTTCTAGCCACGACCCAATTTATCATAACAGCTCTTTCATATTCCTTAATTACCAACCAATCTGTATCAAATCATGCAATTTCCTATAAAAAGAAAAAGCCCTACTCTCTAGATAACCAACATTCTAAGAAATGGTTAATGTCCGATCTTAAAAAAAATTATCAATGTTTAATAGTTTACAGTTAATTACTTCCAACAAGACATGTACTGTAGCAGACCAAAACAAAGTTTCAGTGTATTACAGAATTAAGTCTATACTGTAGTCATACAATTTTTAAAATTAACCACACTGTTTTATTTACCATTCTCATTTTATTACCTGATGAAAACACATGAAATTCTTTTTTGATTATTTAAATGTTACATTTCAATATTCTATTTTATTACAAACTTATCCTAACCTACTGAACCTTACCAATTTTACTTACGATAAGTTTGAAAATTATTCTTGTTTTTTTATTTTTTAATTAGAAAGTAGATTTTTTTTATATTTTTTTTATTTTTCATTATATCTGTTTAGTTCCTGGGAGACAAGAAGCCTATAGGCCTATTCAAAATGAAAACAAAAGTCAGCCATCAGATTCTGCAGAAAGACATAATGTACAGTAATTACTGTAACTAATACTAATATGTGGGCTTTTATTAAACTTTTTTTAAATTTACATTTAGACAGCATACTGAAAAAAGTCTCTGAAAAAAGTGATACAAGCCATTATGATGATTGCAAATTTTCAATTTACAAATTACAGTTTCTTACTAAATAACTAAGCCAGTGTTCTCCCAATTGACACAGTTGGTAAATCTGTTCAAAAAAATTCAGCACAAGGCATCACCTTTTGAATAGGAAAAAATAACAACACATACAGCCCTAGGCATTGACTAAAATGATGTTCATTACAGGTACTGAAAGGCCAGTAACCCTAGATTACCTCGGCCTTAATCAGGGAGTTTTTAAAATTTTTCCAAACAAAATTTTGACAGGTTGGCCGGTTATTATTACAGGTAAATAAAATTGACAGCTACTGTAAAACAGCTTCGGGAGAACACTGACTATAAAGCCTTTCATTATTTATAATAGTTAACTGCACTGTGTCATTTCGCAGTAAATCCTTGTAAAGCGACGACATGATACAGATGCGTGCAGTGTTGAAGAATACTAAGCAATGATATGTCGTCGTGTTGTTACCGTGTCTAGCGTAAATCTAGCTCAAAGCAGAACATTTTAATTTATCACTGCCAGCTCCAGTAATGAGCCGGTATGTTCAGTAGGCATGACCAACTAATCAAACTAAACATAATATTCAATTAAAAATAGATTGTATAGTAATGAGAATAATTACCTATGCTAAGCCTAAGTCCAGTAGGCCAAATACTGCCTCCCGCAAATCATGGGAGTCAACAGAAAATCTCGACAGGCTCCCGCACTCCCGAAACCAAGCAAGAATCTTCCGCAAAGTAATTAAATCTGAATGTTTTTACTATAGTACTATTAAACTGCACTGCCCCTTTCCTATCATTTTTGTCTCATTGATGTCAATTTCGATGGGTATCGACAAAAGCACTAAAAATATAAAATTACATGTGCAAAGGCGAGAAACTTTTTATGCCTTGTTTAGCGAACCCGCTGAATAATGATGATTATAAATTAATTAATTAATTTTACGCACTTAATCTCATTACTGCACTGTTTACATTCACTAATAAAATGTTATTTTCTCCTCCGTCTGGATGTTTTTTGCAAAACTATTTGCTAAATATGATAACAAAATTTTATTTTAATATTTTCCCCCCTCCTCTGACGATCTTAAAAAAAAAATGAGTTCGCAAAACAAGATATAAAAAAAATTATCGCCTAAGAGAGCTCATAAAAACTGATCTGCTGGAAATGATTTAGCTTCCAAATTGGGACCCCTGAAGTAATGCCCTACAACAGGGGTGGGCATAAAAATCGGTCAGAGGGCCAAAGTGAATTTTTCACTTAACACCGAGTTCAGCACCCAAACTTTGATGATGCCTGAAAAATCCTTCATGCACTGCTTTCACACCACTTTATTCTCAGTTTAAATACTACTTTTTAGGGATGGTCAGTGTTGGGCCGTAAAAAACAAGGTGTTTTCTGGCAAAAAAAAGATTTTTGGCGGGCCGCACATATAGGGTATTTAATTCATAATCGCGGGCCGCAAAAAAATCAATGTCGGGCTGCACTTTGCTTACATATGCCCTACAAAGATTACAATTTCTAAGGTATATAATTATATTGAATAATTATTTGCTGTCTTTAACTATGATTTTAGAAAGACCTTTTGAAATATAAGACATAACCTTTGTTTAATTAATGGACAATAATTATGAGCCCACAGTCGTGTCATCGCAGCACCAGATGGCACCCTTTGTTGTCAACCAAGACGTTGGTTACCGTTCATTACGCCTGAATAGCTTCATAATCTTAATGGTTTGGAATAGGCTTTCTGGAATAGGCATTTTAAAACCTAATAATTTACCATCAAAATGTACTAAATAACACAAAAAGCTTGCATTATATTAGAAATCAAACACACATTTAATCATCAATTAACATTTACAAAGAAAAATAAAGATACAACTTATTAATAATTATGTCAGAAATTTGGATCAATGGTTTGTCAGTGGAGAAAAAGACATAGGTTCAACGCATTTTGTGTTGCCGGTAGCAACGGAGTAGTATCACATGGTATCGTGACGCAACACTGCAGTACTCTATTGTTGAAGCAAGCAGAGATAAAGAATATAATACAAACTGTGTTATAGAGTATGCTATGTTGTGATAGCATTTACTGTAGATATTTCTTATTCTTACGGTACAGTACCTTCCACTGTACGGCCTACCGTACAAACCTAATTTAAATAATGAATTCTCGTATGTGTTGCTTTTACTGACTAGTGAGACAACTCCTCGTTCAATAATTGTAGATTCATGTTAGTGTAAAATTGTTAATTTACAATTATCCCATTATGAATGAATGCTATGTGACTATCAGGTGAAAGATATCTGAAACAGTTTCTCTGGGAATTAATACTAAGTGTAACAGGATCAATGCAAATCATACATTTGGTCCAAAAATAGAAACTATGAAACCTGTACAGCTTTTATGAACTTGACACCACAAACATGAG